GTAAATGGGACTAAGCTTTGGGTTAATAAGTAAAACCCCCTAATGATGCTTATGATATTTTGACGACGTCATGAAGCCCACTACTTGTTCAATTAGAGTAATATATAATCTCACTATTTACAGAGTTAAAAGCTTCTTGTACTATTAAAGCTACTTGCATTTATGCATGGCTCAAGATAGATCCAAGTGTTTGTCATAAAACCCCTAAATTTAAACTTTTATGATAGGACCACCCTAACCGCAAATAGCTACAATAACCTTTAACAGAAAAAAAAGGGGGGAAAAGGGAAGATTTAGTTTCTCTCTCTATCTCTCTCTCTCTCTCTGAAGAATAGTAGTGTTACGCGCCGGTAAAAAAAAGGAGGTTAAAGTTAAGTAGAGTAGGTTTTGTGAGATGCTCCAAAGTTTAGTGAAATTAAAATATTCATGGAGTAAGAGCTGAGGAGGTTTTGAGAATTAAAACAGTTGATGAGGGTTGTCTACAACACCCCCAAAGTTAAGAGGGGTTTGGTGAAATTAATCCTTTTGGCTTTGAACCACTATAAAAACCAATAAGAACTGGACGGTATGCACTGTAGCTATGGGATTAATTTGGTCTAGGGTTTCTTTTATTTCTTCAGATCCATGATCGGTAAGATCTCACTTTCAATTTCAGAAAACTTTATAATTTGTTTAATTCTGGGATGTGTTGTATCAGTAATATTCAAAAGCATATGCAAACTGCACCCAGTTTCGAGCATGGTTCGAATTATTATTATTTTTCTTTGTGCACAAATATGAAAAATCTGCGCATAGTTGTTTCTGTTCCTTGTCCAATTCTTGCTTAAAGATATCTCTTTCTCAATGAATACTTTTGATAGGGATTACAATTTGGAATAAAGACTTAATTGTCGTATATAACAGTTTTTTTTTTACTGTTTACTTTTGATAAGGAGTGTCCAGGCCTAGCTTGCTACATGATGGTGTCATGCACCAATTATTCTCGTCTCAATTCAACAGATATAACTTCTCCTCCATTGAAATTATCATCTCGCAACTTTCCAGTAAAAGCAAGGATTGATGTGGCCACGATGCATCGTCGGGCTTCCACTCTAGCTACTGTGGCTTAGAGAAAACAAGAGCATCACTGTTATTGAGAGGAAATTAATCTCAGAATCAGATCAAAAGAAGGAAGCATGGATATAAACAGCATGATAGTATAACCATCGACTTCATCGCTTTTGAGATACTCACCAGACTCCCTGTAAATTAAGGATCTGCTAAAGTGCAAATCCGTTTGCTAATCGTGGCATGCTTTGCTCTCTGAACCTACTTTCATGGCCGCGCATCTAAAGCGTTCGTGGGAAAATCCCAAGCTCGTATTTGTAGCTCTTTCTCATAAACCCTTTAATTTGCCGAGGAAGCTCCATGTATACGTATGAAGTAAGAGGCAGGGGAAAATCGAGGTTCTTGTCCGTGGAAGAATATTCCGCAGCACAGTAGTAGTTGTTCCCTCCTCATCGCTGCAATGGTTTGCAGCTGCTCAACGCTCAGACCCAATTGGTTGTATGCAATCCGAGTACTAAAGAGTCGGTAGCCTTACCTGCATTCAGACGCGACTGTGGTACACTGGAAGACGGCGCATCAAATTAACTTTACGGCTGCTTCAGGATATGTTGAAATTGTATGAACGTTTACAGAGTGGCCCGGTATTTCTACTGTTCTCGCAATGTTGAATAAGAAACATTGGACCTGGGCTTTGGGGTGATTACTCTAGTAACGACAGACTTTTCCTTGGAGAGATATTACCCTACCCGATTGGAATTTGATGTTTGTCCCAAGCCTGTGGGTGAAGTTATCTATTTCAATATAGATAACAGACTCCACCAGGACTCTCCAAAAGCCTTGCTTTGCTTCAATTTCAAAGACGAAATGTTTAGAGTAGACGACCCTCCACATCGATGTCCCAATATCAGACTACGGGAATATTAGCGTTTTCAATCTTGAAGGTAACCTGTGTTTCATTCATTGGTCACAGGATAGGACGAAGTATAAAATGTGGACTTCCAGGGACTTCGCCGAGCATGTGTGGGTTCCTACCTCTTTAGTTTCGACCTGCTGCACCCACCACTGAGGTTTGTGTTGCCTGTTGCGCGTCGTCGTGGAAAACTTCTGCTCCAGATGAATGACCAAGTTCAAAGGTTGGGAGTGTTATGATCCCCAGAGTAAAGTGTTTGGTCCTGTCATGTGTATTGCGAAGGACGTGGCTTTCTACAATGAGCAGAACTGTGGCAATGAGCAGAACTGTGGTCTTCATGTCTTTGATGAGAGAGCCGCGCTCGTAGCAGTGAATTACGTTTAGAGCTTGGTGCTGATTAGGCCCAGACGCTGAAGCTGGAGATAGATCTCATAATTCCTTTGTTCTCCCATGATTTTTTGCCTTGTTCAGATATGGCAAAGAACATATATAGTTGGCTTCTTTGGCTTACGTTATTTAAGCTTATTGAAATTGTATTTTTTTAGACCAAAATATTGTGCTTGGTCATATTCCATTTCTATTTCCTGTCTTTCATTTTCTAATTTGGTAGACGAGTGATTTTTATTTTTATTTTTGGTCTGAAGACTGCTATTGTCTTTTATATTGAAAATAACGTGAAAAGTTTACAGATAGAGGATTCTCTCTTACTTTTTCCCCTTTTTTCTCTTTTTTCTCTTAATTTAAAGTTCAGAGATCAGGTGCAAAAGACATCATGTGCATCTTACTTGTTACGCGGACATGGCATTATGTATCATGCTCAAAAGGAGCATCTATATAGTATTCCCAAATTCGAAGCGTAAATGTAATTAACATAATTTATTGTTTAATACTTTGTATAATTGTGAGACACAGATTTCATTCAACAACAGAACGAGGCCATTAAGGCATTAACTGATTCTCATTGACTCATGCAATTTTTGTGGTAAGTTGTTCATTGATGAGAATTGTTAGTCACTGATGATATTATGACGGTGTATGCATTTTATCTATTTGGATGCAAAGTCCATTGTCAGGAGCAAAATTAGGTCTTATAAATCATCGTCGAAGTTGTTCATTGATGAGAATTGTCCGTCACTGATGATTTTATAGTTAGGACAGTGTATGTGTTTTATCTATTTGGATGCCAAATCCATTGTCAGATGCTTTTAAAATTATCGTCGAAGTTGTTCATCGATGAGAATTATCAGTTACTGATGATTTTATAGTGAGAATAGTATATGCAAAATCCATTGTCCGGTGCAAAAATAGCTCAAATTTTATACTTGCATTCTAACCTTAATGCTAGCACCTTAAGTTCATAAAATGTATACAAGTGATATTCTCAATTTCTTTTCTTCTGTGATGTATTTGTTCAGTTTGCTCGCAGATTTGTAATGTTGACTAAAAAGTTGCCAGGTTTGTAATGAAGACTGAAATTTGTGATATGGAGTGTGATCGGATGCACTTCTTTACTGAAAATTTAAGCTCCTAAATATCGGTAAATAGTACATCATCTAGTTGTAGCTGTGATCTTATATTTTCATTGTTCGGTTAGTAATACTGTATTAAAATATTAGTGACTGAAAAAAAAAATACTTCCAATTTTCAATCTTCTAGCTTTTGTATCAGTTTTCCTTTTCAATCAAACGCTAAATTCGCAACGAATTATAAATAAATATCTGAATAATGCATTTGAAATGTATTATCTGCGGTAAATAATTCATACATAACGTCAACATTTATTGGCACCTTATATTCTTTTCTTTTCGGCTAAATAGCACTTAATTAATTACCTTATAGTCATCCCTTAGCACTAATATACCTTCAATTGTTTTCCATGGCAGTTATATACCTTAAGTTATTTAAAATTAGCACATTAGTACCCTCTATTATGCAAACGTTTAAATTTTTCATTCCAAAGTTTTATCTAACTTTTACATGTTAACTTTAGAGCTTTCTAACCAATATTATTTATTAAAGTTACAGTTTGCTCTTTCCAAACTTTAATTTAGACAATAGAAATTGGATAGATTTAATAGTAAATTCAACAATCTTGTTAGTTAGAAAGTTATAAAATTAGAGTAAGAATGTTATATAGAAGCTTTCAGATGAAAGTTTTCGAATTTGCATAACAAGGATACTAACATATCGATTTTAAATATCTCAACGTATACAAATGCTACAAAAAACAATACAAGGTATATAAATGCTATTAAAACAACTAAAGGTATATAGATACTATTTTTTTAACTAAAAAACAAAATCTTTAATTCAATGTTCCTGCTACAGTAACATTATTCGTATTGCAATATAATTCATCATATTAAAACCTCTCTTCAAGCAGCAATACAATTTTGAGTCTTAAACACCGTTCATACTATAATGAAATTTTGAACCTTAACGACGCTGATTCATGATACATTAAAAATTTTGGCCCTTCATCTACTGGTCAAGATAAAGTAAAACTTTTGAACCTTGAGATCAATGTTCACATCTATTTTTGACTTTTTACCTATTTTTCAACTTTGAAACACTGTTCACATAGCTTTTAACTTAATAATATTAGACATTTCACATATATAAATATTTTCTAGCTCTATTAAAAGATTTATAAAATCTACTAATTGGTATATTATTGGAGAAATTTTTAAAACCAACCATTTTTAAAATTTAATAGGCAAAATCGACCTAAACTGAAAAATATTAGCAAAACCGACCCTTTTCAGGAGAAAAGGGTCGGTTTTGCAGCGGAGGGTGATTTCCGAAGTGCACGGGACTGCTAGTCCCGTGCACTTGGTGTTCAGCAAACCCGCTGCTGAAACCCAGTGCACGGGACTATCAGTCCCGTGCACTTGGTGTTCCAGCAGCTGCTCTCTGCTTAAAAGTCGGGACTAGCAGTCCCGACTTTTAAGCAGAGAGCACTACCCGTTTGCTGAACACCAAGTGCACGGGACTAGCAGTCCCGTGCACTCGCTGTGCACATTTTTGTGCAATTTTCTCTACATTTCAAGTAGTTCCTGTGCATATATCAACACAAACTTCCTCTAACAAGTCACATACTCATTTCACCACTGCATTTCATGTAGTCCCTGTGCATACAGCCACACAAACTCCCACTAACAAATTACATACTGATTTCACCACATACTCATTTCAAATCAAACAAATCACATCACACCACAAACTCCCACTAACAAATCCAACATAATAACACCACAAACCCACTTAGAAATCAAACATATCACACGATATTATCGACTACAAATCCAAAAACCACATCCCTAAATAGTTTTGTAATGTATATAACCTGTAGTTTACATACATCCAAGAACTCTCCTCCTCCTCCTTTGTCTTCGTCGTCCTCCATACCGCCCTTCGACGAGTTCGTGATCCGGTTGCGTTTGTGGTTGTGACGGTCCAGCTCCATCGTCGACACGTTGGGAAGGTCCAGCTTCATCGTTATTTCTGCGTCGTCCTCGACTTTGTCGCTGTTGTCGTGTATATACGAATGACCTTACCTCCCGTCCATCATGACGATCTTCGTGAGTTCGGTGTAAGGCTTGTTGAAGCCTCTGCATTATAGCCTGATATATTGATACATGTTCATGTGCTTCGGGATTTCTATCTGCTGCGATAGATAGTTCAAAAACAAAATTTCATATTAAATTTGATATTACAGAATGTAAATTTGAGATTTAATTTTTTCGTACCTGCTCGAGCCAATTCCAAACCACGATTTGCAAGAGTTTGAACTTCATCTATTGCTGATACCTGCAAATTTTTCAACACATAAAGTACCAATAAAAATGGACTTAAATCAAAATATGAAAATACTTACTAATTCTCTCTCATCTATACCCCGGGGCACATATCCTCTTTGCGACTCAACCGGTATTGTGGTCGAATGAAGTATCCATCTTCGGGTTATGTCCCAATACCAAGTGTAGTAATCTGATTCCCGAGGAGTTGGTTCAATTTGGTTGACAATACAAAAATGCCTATCATTCCATTTGTGTATAAAAGCTTGATGCACGATCATCCAGTTTATTTGTTGGCCTCCTTTCTTTGCCTTCCTCTCTATCTTTTCAACAAACTGCGGAACATGTTGTGCAAGACCATATTGTCGAAGCACGCGGTCCGGTACATGCATTTCTACTATCTCCAAACATATAAGAGGAACTCTAGCTCTCCATACAACTTGGTATTCTGTGCATATTGGGGGTAGCTGAGGTAGAAATTGGGTGTAGGGCTCCCATTCCATCTACAATAATTTATTGCAGTTGCATATCAGAATTGGGTTTTCAGTATGTAGAAGAAAAAACGCATGTTTTTCGGTGAGAATTACCTGAAAAATCTTCATACGGTCAAGCTCATTCCGGTAGAAATCTAATTGTCTAGCCGGGGTCTCGTCATAGCATTTTTCGACATTCCATCTACAAAAAAATATTTATCATACATTTAGTACCACAATGATAACTACAATTATATTCGCTACACTAAAAATACAATACCTGCATCCCAGTGGAATTTGTCCATCTAATTGTAAATGCGTGCATAGTCTTGGCTTCAAATGAAGTCTCTCCCATGCCCATACTTGCAATAAGCTTAGACACCCTTTAAGCTCACTGTTTTGCATAAGTGCCACTTTTGACATCTCTCTATATAAATACGCCAAAACACCCCGCTTCCGCGATTTGCGCCGCGATAGCCCCGCTTTTTGCCGCTTTTTACAACACTGATCAACCATAACGATACTCGGACCTCTCTGTATAGACAATGATAGTATAAGAATGCAATATTATGTAAATGCAAATATTACAATTATAAAGTAACTGAATTACCTCTGTACAGGATATAATATGTGAACGATGCTGAGCCTGGTCATATAAGACCTCATCACTAACCGGCCCAGGATCCATGGTGTACAAACCTGCACATATAATTATACACATGTTAATAATCAATCATATAGTAATTCAGTTTCTTTATTAAAGTATATAAAAATAAAAAAATGATATAAATTACCAATTAGTTGCTATCTATTGTGTCTAGATGGACAACGAGGTCGAGTATGTCCCGGTTGTTTGCAAAGACTACATTTTTTGTGCTTGACCACTCCTTCTCGCCCTTGATCCATGGTTCCCCTAATTCGCACAGATCGTGGTCGACCTGCTTGTCTCCGGTACTGAGGTGGAACTATATGTGGTCCATTATATTCAGGCCAATACCGACTATCATCAGGTGGATGAAAACTCTCACTATATGTCTTTTGATAGTGAGCTGTTGAATACCAAGGCGAGCAATACCGATTTCTGGGAATTCTAGCACCTCCCGGCTGATTAGAAGAAGCCGCAAGCACATGTGCACAGGGTATTTTTTGGAGTTGTGGTATGTTACATGTGCAAGTGCAATCAACATCAAATAGTTTAACGGTGTAGATACCGTCACAATCTTGTACCTGCCATTCGTTGTCGTTGAATACAGTAATTTGACATGATCTTGCTGCCTCAATTCTTCTATGCAAAATGGACTCATTTTTTGGTGTGTAACGTGTTGTCCAGTCTATGCCATCACCACGCCTTTTGTTGAAGTATGCGTTTAGTCTATAGAATGTTCTCGCAACCAAAGATTGTATTGGCATAGCTCGTGCTCCTTTAAGAACGCCGTTAAAGCTCTCGGAGCAATTAGTCGTCATCATGCAAAACCGCACACCCTCATCCTTACATAATGCCCACCGATGCTCGAATTGAGGCTTCAAGTTATTTTCAATCCAATTATGTGCATCTAATGACAAAGACTTGATTTTCTCCCTGCAATGTTCATACACTAATGTGTCGGTCGCACACCCGGCTTGCCACAAAAGATTTTGCAAATTAATCTCACCGTGTTTTTTCTTGAAATTATCTCTTATATGCCTTAAACAATATCGATGGTGATGTGGTGCACTAAAACCCTCATGTAACGCCCTTATAATTCCTTTCATCCTATCCGAAATAAAGGTAATTATTCTTGGCGCACGGACACTTGGAATCCACTTGTATATAAGTTCAAAAAACCACTTCCAACTAGACGTATCCTCCACCTCCACGACTGCAAATGCTAGAGGAAATAACCCGCCATTTGCATCTACACCGGTCGCTACAAGAAGCACGCCTTTGTACTTTCCATATAAATGTGTACCATCAATGCTCAATAGCGGACGACAAAAAGTGAAGCCCTTAATAGCAGGACCAAATGCCCAAAACACGCGAGTGAACCTCTCCATACCCGGTGCAATCTCTTCGGATAATATTTCGTATTCAGTACCCGGATTATTTCGTTTGATAGCTTCAAGATACTGTGGAAGTAATTCATATGATTTTTCCCAATCTCCAAAAATTTTAGACAACGCTTTTCTCCTTGCATCATATGCCTTATATTTAGATATCTTAATCCCCCGCATGTCATATACCCTCTGAAATATCTGACTTGCATTCAGATCAAGTTCAGCTCTAACTTCAGGCATAATTAGCTTACATATATAAGAAGAAGATGCAGAATAATCATCGACATCCACCGACGGGTTGCAACATGTATGAAGTCCGCAATATCTACATATTACAAATTGCCCATTTGATGATTTTCTCACAGCGGCATTTAGCAACCAAGGACATTTTTTATTTCTCTCATCTTGCTCATTTGCATTCTCTACTTCATTCTTATCGTTAAAGAAGCATTTCACATTGTAGTTTGTTGCATTAGTTTTTACCGGCTTTAATTTGACCCGATTCTTGATGGACCATTCTCGGATTGCAAAAATCAGTGCCTCCTTGTTCTCGAATAGATCCCCTTTTTTAAAAGTGAAGTCCTCAGGTCGTTGTAAATTTGGCCCAACATCAACAAATCCAGCTTGAGAAGTATTTATCCAATCCTCATTATGAAACTCGTCGGGCAACGGATCTTCAGCTTCCACATAATCATTGTTAACGTTAAATTGCTCCATCCAACGGGCGTCATCATCTATTCCAGCTGCCACATGCATGCTATCAATTTGCACGCCATCTTCTTCAAAATGATCTGAATCATCATCTGCTTCATCTTCTATAATTGCTCCGACTGGTGGGTAACCCGTAACATGAACTGAAGCGTCGTTAAATATATTAGTTGACGTCCCACCGATAGAATACTCACTTAAACGTTGTGGTTGAGACCATGGCTCTTGACTTGGAGATGTCATAAAACCAATCGACTCGTTGTCTAAGTCAAGCATCCGAGAAAACTCTCCTTGAGGTCGTGAAACTTGGGCAAATTCCTGAATCGGATACTTCTCAATAAACAACTCAATTGACGCTTGCTTCTCGACTAATTGTTTCATGTCATTCAATTCCTCATCTTCGGTAATCTCCACGGCAATAGTTCTACTCTCATTTATAGGACAGTTGAAGAACACCTTAATTGTATATTCTTCTTTCTTAATTTTAGTAACTCTGTGTATTTCCCTAGTCATTCCATCAAAATTACACGACTTAGATAGCATGAACATTTTCCGAGAACCTCCATCATACACCGGCAAATTATTCACTCCGACGCCGAGGCTCCCATTAAAGAAACAAATAATGGATATGGAGTTCGTCATCGAAACTGAAAATACACAGTCCATCATATGCAAATAATCTATTAATATCTGAATAAATCAACATCAAATTTATTACCTTAATCAATCTCAAATAATGGCTAAAACCTTAATTATTATTCATCATTTGTAAAATAAATCAACATCAAATTTATTACCTTAATCAATCTCAAATAATGGCTAAACCCTTAATTATTATTCATCATTTGTAAATAATTGCTAAACCCTAACCCCCAAACCACATTATTCATCCTATTGCACAAAATAAAAACTAATCCTACCCAATTCTAGCAAAATTAACAGCAAAATTAACAGCAAATTTGATGAATATCCCTCTCAAAAATAATTGTTAAACCCTCTCATATGTAAATAATTGCTAAACTAAACCCTAACTCCCAAATTAACAGCAAAATTAAAAAGAAAAACACACCTGAGAATGGGGGTTCGGTGGGCGTCGATGGTGTCGGATGCGCGACGAGGTCGGAGGGCTAGGGTTAGGCGGCGACTGCAAATGGCAGGGGGTCGAAGTCGAAGTTGAAGGCTAGGGTTTGGGGGGGTTGAAGGCTCAGTCACGAGAGCGTCGGGGTCGGCGGCGACGGAAAATGGCGGTGATCGGCGGCGACGGAAAATGGCGGTGATCGGCGGCGGGGGTCGACGAGGCCAGCAGGTTTTTTTTTTCTTCGGGGGAGAGTGGTCACGAGATCGCAGAAGGAAAGAAGGAACGAAACGAACGAAAAGAAAGCGGAGTTAGTGGGGTAGGCGGACTGCACGGGACTAATACTAGATTTCTCCTATATTATTTTGTTTTTGCTAATTAATTTCTGAGACGGTCGATTTTGCACAATAAAATTGAAAAATGGGCTGTTTTAAAAATTTCTCCTATATTATTTTGTTAAATGATTTGGAGATTCACCATGTAAAGAGTAGTACAAGAATTTATCGCTAAAAGTTTTATAAATAGCTATATAACAAAATTGTATTTTCAATTTAGTGATAAATATACTTCGATAAATAATACCAATTAGATATTATATAAATAATACCTGCCACCTGC